AGGTGACTGATACGGTAGTGGAAACTGGGGGTACAAGCGTGGTGGTGACAGATGAAGTGATGGGAAGTGGGAATGGAGTTGGACTTTCTGTACTTATTGAAGCAGTTGGATGTCCACTAGTTGTGACTGACGGGGTAGATGTTGAAGAGTCACATGGTACATAAGTACAACATAATATTCTGATCTGATAGTTGAGGCACTTTGGTGGAATCTGATCCCTATCATTACATATGAGTCCAAAGTCTTTGCTACATGTCACTTTTTGGTTCAGGTCTTTTAGTGGTACGTCAGTGTATCTTTCTGCTCTGCATTCCACATCGCTTGGAGTTTCGCAAACACTAAATCCCTTAGCTCTTATTTTTTCAAATGTTTCAAAATCTCCATAGTTGGGGTCTCTTGGATAACTGACATCGTACCACTCTGACCATTGGCATACGTTGTGAACACAGACTGTTGTAACTGGTGGTGTAGTTGTTGTTCCTGTGGTAGAAAGAAAAAAAAGTACTTGCTTGTCCTCAGATTCAATATTCTTGTTAATAATTACTGTCTAATGTCTAATTATTACTACTGCATTTGGAAAGATTAGGGTATTAATCTTTCACAGAATTTATTTTAGGCCACATGGGGGACCTTTATTATCTTATACGCTGTTCTCCAGCAAAGTGTTTTGGAAGAGCAATTTTAATCACCTGTGTGAGTGCATGTAGTATCAAAACTTAACCTGACTTATAGTCTTTTTCTTTCTGCTTTTGCAGTTAAAAGTATTCCAAGTTATGTCTTGTGTATCCAGTCTCAATATATAAAGGAGTCAATGAATTTTTACGAGGCACTTTTCTACTGTGTACAGTGTAAAGAAGAGGGCCTGATTTTCCACTGTATTATCTCTTTTGTAATAATTTACAATTGATTTCTAGACAATCAAAACGGTACACACACTTCACAGTGACTACGCAAGGAACAAGTCAATGGCAATTAAGACAGTCATATTTAGAAGTTTTCTCTTTATTTTAACGTAGGTTTCTGTAGCATCTTGGTATTACTGAGACATTTATATTGAATAAACACCATCTTGTTCACAGAATGGTTGTTCCTGCTTGAGCCAACATTGAATTCATCCTGTTGTGTTCATGATATTACTGTACGATGCTATGGATATATTTGTCATTTTTGCAAGTTCAGCATGATGCATTAACTGCAGGATCAAGCAGGAGCAAATGAGCTTTTTGGAAGAAAGCACTAGCTGGTTAAAAAAATCTTTAGCAATCAGGAGGAGTGTCAAAGGACATTCTGAAATACCTTGAAAGTTCCCTCATACTGGATTTTTTAGCTTTGAGATTGCACTAATGTGTTTAGTTTATTTTAAAATTGTTATTTGGTGTCCAGCATATATATAGGGAGAGGTAGTAAAGATGCCCGCCCAGTCTAGAGCTCTCTGGGAGCTGTCCTTAAAGCTGCTCTACTTCATGCTCATGGCAGCCAGGGATCTCCAGGGCATAAAGATGAACTCACTACACTTTCTTTCCTCTGGGAGCACCTGGTGTTGGTGTTACCCAGGGTAACAGTGGGGACTGAGGGAGAGAATTTGTAGAAGCTGTATCTCTCTGCACCAGCTGGGCAGAGAATCCTCAAGATGGGGGAGGGGGGGAGCTGCCAGCTGAGTTTCTGACTGTTATGGTAGAAATTACCAACGTACAGTACAAACATGTGCAATTAGAGGAGTAAGTGGCCCTTACCCCCCGGTATGCAAAGATTTTTTCAGATATTTTGAGAAATGCATAGAAATACCTGCAGCACTCGGAGGTAGAACTGTACTAAATGTGAATGGGATGGTAGTTGTAATTCCACTGCATTCAAAGAATTTTCTGGTTATTGTTCCATTGATGTCACAAATTGCACTCAAACACCCTCCAATCCCATCTGTGGTGTTATAAATGACATCCTTATATTTATATTTGTGTTCTTCATAATAGCAATAACATGCTGTAAAACAGGAGAGGTGAAATGACATTGTTAGTTACCTGTCAAATGAAACAAAAGCTCAAGAATTTGTTTTCCTTCATAAATTTTCTTTGCCAACTTACCTTCAGCATCAAACTTGCACTCTAAGCCTTCCATTGTGCATGTACTGAAAGAAATAACAGAGAAGAAATGTGAGACTGAAGATGCATGAAGGGTGATGAACTCGCTTTACTGTTATGGTATTTTCAGTGAATTTATAGAGACTAATCATAAGCCAGAGAGGAGTTATTCTGAATTAGGGTTTGACTGAAGTTCAGAGAAGTACTTGTTTAGTTTCCAGCTAATATTCTCATAGTCAGCTCTGATTAAAATACCTCTTTCAAGCTGAATAGTTAAGAGGAGGTGCTGCTCCCTCTCCACAGTACCTGCAGCATGTCAAGCTTAGAGGCTGCTTTTTTCTTCCTCCCTAAAGCCAATTCTGACATTGGAGCAGCATGGATCAGAGGGAGGGTTAAGAAAAGGGTCCATTCCTTTTCCATCCCCTTACTGTTAGACCAATCTCTTCTTATGCCATCCCCCTTATAGCCAGTTCATGTCAGTTCCTCTGACTGCCATTCTTTTCCCAACCATCTCCCTGATATCAGACCTCAGCTCCTGTGCGAGAATGAAGTCAAAGACCATGGGAAACTACAGAAACAAGTCTTCAGGGAGGCTACTTGTCACATTCGTCATTCTTCCTTATGTTTTGGCCCGGAGGCTAGAAAAGGAAAAAGTCTGAATATTGGATCATATTAATTATGAACTTTAAATTATATGTGGATGTAGAATAAACCCTAGCAACAAATCTATATTATATATTACATAACTGGGTTTGTTCTATTCTGCACTCTTCTATCATGGTGACGAGTGACCTTATGGGAATATCACCATGAGATAGGAGCACAGAATAGAACAAACCGGGTTATAAAGCACATCATATTTTTTTCTGGGCACTAAGCTGAAGAATTTACTCTGATACTGAGAACAAATTCAACAGAATCAAAAATTGCTTCAACAGAATCAAATATTGCTCACTAGTAATACGAAAATTGGTATGTGACAATAAGGGGTCGCTTTTGCACAGGCAACATCCTCACCTTACCGTGGGATAGCGGCGCATAACTTTCAAACACTGCTTTGGTCCTTTCTCCTTAACGTGGTCAGACTGTACATTAAATCTTACCATGACTGACAGTTGTCCTGTGAGTAGAAGCTCACTCCTGGTTTGTGGTAGTTTCCTTTAGCATCGTAACAGCCACAGTTATCAACACACGTCATCTCATCCTCATTGAAATATGGCTTGTTTGCTGGACAGTTTGGATAGCAGCCTGAGACAAAAAAAAAAAAAAAAAAAAAAAAGAGTATAAGCTGGAAGAGTTTAAGCTGGAACTTTACACAGAACGTAATTCCTTTTTATTTTTCTACTTTGGGCTATATTTCTCAGGCACAAGGGCTTTCCAAATTTGTACTCCTTCCCCTGGCTCACTTTCTATGGCTTGCCTTCCTTATAATATGATGAGTCCTTCTAAATAAAAGGAAACTACTGCTTCTGGATTCTTGTTAATGGCTCCTTTGTTGGTTGGCACGGTGTTATTATTTAGCAAACAAGGCTCCCCTAGCCCCTAAGATGTGGATGTGATGCTAGCCTATGAACCAAGATACTAATACAGTTCTCTTATGTAGCACAGACTATTATCATTAGGAGACCCCACCAGGCCTGAGTCCTACAAATGTTTTCAAACCCCATGGACCAAACTCTGCCCTCACTTATACCAATGCAACCCACTGAAGAAAATAAGATTGTATGGGGTGTATCTGAAGAGAGAATTTGATGCAACAATGACTGAGCTGGAAAAAAATGGTAACCAGTTGTGCACTCTACAGTAAGCAACATGCTGTGTCATAGCTCTTTTCACCTTCTAAACCTGGTAACTTATGAAGGCATCTTCCACTTGGATTCCTACAGGTCTTCATGCAGGGGGCTCCACAAGGCTTGTAGTGCCACTCGCATTTCCCTTCTGGGTTGTAATAATCACAGAACAGAGCTGAGGGGAAACAGGAAAACACATGTTCAGAACAAAATGCCTCAGTTTTTTCATAGCTCTCCATTATACCACTACTATACCATTTGGGTAGTCTTGAAAGTCATGAATCAAGAGCTGAAACTGCATAATTGTCAACCCAGTTTGATGTGAAACACAGGGTTGAGAACAAATTGTTGTCATATATTTAATAACATTAACATTCTCAAAACAATTGCCTTGAAACTGATACACTACTCTTTCAGTCACCATTGAGCTATGGGCTAATACTCACGACAGATTGATGGAGTTCTCCAGGCTACACAGACACCAAATTCACTACATGCTTGAGCATATGCAGCTACTGCTGTACAGAAACATTCACAGTCTCCCCCACTGTCACAAGCACAAGCATCAGTCACGCATGCTTCATAATATTTAGTTGGTTCAACCTGTTAGACAAAGAAAGCAGTAAATGTAAGTTTTACTTTCTCTGTAGTCATCTTGCTTTGCCAGAGTAACACTTCTAGAATATTAACATGCCACAAAAAGGGAAAATCTGTAACTTTCATTTTCTTGTATTTGCATTGCTAGACAAACTAGGCCCAATTTTCCCATGTGGATGCTGAAACAGTATGTCTAAATCACACATTTGATCATTCACATAAGAGGATTTGCAAACAATTGCAGATTTGAGACCCAAAATGCAGGTTTCAAACAGGCAACTATGTTTGAAAATTAGGATTTGTATCTATGGAAAGAATTAAGATACAAATAACACAGGTAGGCTACATTGTTTTACATATGCTTTAGCAATGGCTGCTGATATCTACACTGATTCTTTTCCCCTGCTACTCCAGCATGTTGTTAATTAACCCAGGGATAGAGCTTGTGTAACCCACACACCTTCTGGGTGTAGTGTTCTGTCCCATCTAGTGGCACCAAGACCACTTAGAAAGAGAGATTAATGAGTTTGCTCTACAGCCTTTGCTAACAGCCAGTTGGCTTTTAGCTCATGAGGTAGAGGCTCATGCACTAAGCTCCAGAAATCCCCGGTTCGATGCCACCCGCTGATGACCGGGGTTTGTTGGCGTTACACTTGTATTCTGTACATGGCATATGACGAAAATATTAACTAACCCACACTAAAAATAAAACTCATACTGACTTGAGATTATCCTTCTTTTACACAAGAAAAACAAGAATGCTTCCTGTAAAATAAACGTTATATTGTTCTACAGGTGCAGTGCCCATTCTTGTTGGGTAGAATAATCCAGCCTGAAATTTACCTATGACAATTCAGGGTGAAACATATGTTAGCTGATGAATTGTGCACCTGTTTCAGAATGTATGAGAACAACCTTCAATGGGGGTAGTTCTTTTGGAATAGGGAGAAAATGGACCCAAATGAAACTTCTGGATAGTCAGCAATTTAGTTAGTAATTAGCTCTGACTCCCATCTTCTAAAGGATGGGTTTCTTCAACAATGTAGTGTATATATTAGAGATGAGCCTTAGTTGTAAAATTCAGAGCTGGATCCAAACACCCAAAGGTTGAGGTGTGGGGCTGGATCCAGTTGCTCTTGTTCACACCCATGTCTAGCAGACTACTTGTATTCAATGGAATATAAGGAGCGACAACTCAATGTCAAGTGCACAGGCATCTGAGGAATATAAAAAGATAGTCTTTATTTAGGAGAATTTTGCTCTGAGGATTTGCTATACCTGAGAGTGACATGCAGCAAAGACTTCACTGTTGATGATGCTGCACTGCCTCTGTGACCAGGACTTCCTATAAGGGTTGGTAGAGCAAGGGTCCTTTGTAGAGTTGGCATCAGGACAAGTAAGAGACACTTTCCAGCTGTTTCCAAACTCCAGCACATCTCCTACCACAGACTGACTTCTGGTGGTAAAGTCATTAATGCCATTGCCATCGTAGTTCCCGCACAGGCCACAGACCTGACCCTGTACGTACACACACACACAAAAGGATGATAGAAAGTTTGCAGCAATATCACAGACTAAAAGCACCTCTGGAATTCCCTATTTTGCATGTTATCTCTAACTGTTTGGTAATATCCTGACTCTCTGTTTTTCTAAGATAACATACTTGCCACAAAATCTGCTTTTTATCTCAGTAAAAGGACCTGATGACTGGTCTGAGGGGTATACGCCTAGTAATTTATTTAAAAATTTGAACAATAAGAAAATTGCTTTGTTATTGTGCCCCATCACTGGTGAGTTATGATGATGAATCTACAGTTAGCTAATTGCATATTCTTTTGTTTGTCTTGTGTTGTACAGATATACAGTAGACATACATAGATAAAACAGCCTTACAAAACTGTCATGAAAATGAGCAGCCCACTCCAGGCACAAAATCTACTCACTTGCTCTTTACCAAAATTAATGACAGTGATAAAAATGAATACTTTGCTTGTCCATCCAAAAACTGTCACCCTAGGCAAGTGAGCAGGTAAAATTTAGCAAGGCTGACATTAATACTAGGCTGTATGTATGAATCTAAAATACATACATTCCATATTTGTGGGGAAAAATTATTTGATTCTGGTGTATTATTTAGCTAATGAACTCATAGCATTAGAATATACTTCTACATAAATTTCTGAAGCTGGCTGAACCACTCCCTGATACATTTCCCTAATGGAAAAGTCAGTGTAGTATGCAAATAGGATGACAAAATTCCCATTTCCTATATAATACCCTTCTCACACATCAATAGCTATGTTGACAAACTCTAGTATAGTACCACACACTGACTTTAACATCTGTATTTGAGACATGGTTAAACATACTTCCTATCATTTTACACAAGACTTTCAACTGTACTCTGTTTCCTTTCAATCAATATTGCTTTCTCACTCAAGAGGGACATCATTCATCATTTGTGTCAATGATAGTTGGCAGCAAACTCCTGCCTTCTTAAGCCTTACCTTGAAATCAGGGCTGAGTTTCATGAAGATGCTGGTTTTCTTATCCCACATGAGGATCAGTCCATTGTTGGTCTCAATAACTAAGTACATGCCCATATAGCGGACTTGGTATGGCATTTGCCTTCCATTTTCTCTTTCTATCACTTCAAGGTGTTCCTCACTGAGTATCAGCTCATAGCCCTAAAATGGGGAGAAAAAAAATCAAAGGAATGACTAAGGATCAGCTTTTCAGTAATTAGTATGGTTTGTTGGTATAGGAGACATCTCCCAACAACAAACGTTTGGGAATGATCTTAACTATGTCTGTTTTCCATTTTAAAGAGAACAATACTATTTATCCAGCAAAGATGAGTAATTATTCATTTTTGAGGCAAATGAGATAAATCTAATTTATATCGTTCAAATCATATGACCGTACAACTGTTTTAAGAACATACATTTTAAAATGTTTAAGTCAATCAAAGGAGAGAATGCCTACAATTATAGAGGTACTATAGGGTGCACCATAAAATGATTTATTTTACATAACTCCCCTGGAAAATTAAATTTGGCCCAAGTACTACATAGGATAGCTTTGCCACCAAATAAACAAACAAATAAATAAAGATTGGAAGCACTACCAAATATTTTGTTTGTTTTTGGCTTAAATTGCATTTTACAAACCTTGGAAAGTCTTCACTTCAGAAGCTTCTGGCTCCTCCTGAGTCTCATATGGATACATAATAAAAATGTTCTTTTCAAAAATGTACCAAAAAAGCTACTCACCACTAGGAAGACTTTAATAGACTTAGAGCAGGTAGTCCCAGTGGAGCCACAGGGGATGTTTTCAGTGACAACTCGAAAGGTTCCATTGACTGTGCTGTTTTTCCCACAGTAGTCCTGAAGAGAGAAATGAAGTTATCAGATGGATAATTGCAATATGGAGGATACAGGTGACTCCACAAGTAGTAATGCTAAGACAAAAGCTCAGTACCTGGACTAATGTGTATTCACAATCTCCATTGAAGTTAAACCGTTTGTCATCAAATGTGATGTAATGCCCATCTCCATAAATAGCGCATGTACCAAGGCATTGTTCACTGGTGCATTTCCACATCCTGTTCTTACACACGCTAAGAAGGAGAAGAAAACATTTTAATCATAAAATTACTCACTTGATGCACATGTAATTCCCACAACATATTTATTTAATTCAGTATGTATCAGTCCTGGTAAATGTTGTGTTCACGCTAGTGTTAAAGTTAGAATTTGTCCAAGCAAACAATTAATGCAAAAGCTCTATATCATCAGCATGAAGGGGTTAATAGGAATATAGATAATACTGTATGAAAACACAAGGCCTGGTAGTAATGGGGGACTTTAATCACCCAGACATCTGTTGAAAAAGTAATATGGCAAAACACAAAATGTCCAGTAGGTTCTTGGAATGTATTGGTAACAGCTTTTTGTTTCAAAGGGTGAAGGAAGTAACCAGGGGAACAGCCATTTTAGATTTGATTCTGACCAACAGGGAAGGAACTGGTTGTGAATCTGATGGATGAAGGCAATTTGGGTGAAAATGATCATGACATGGTAGATTTCATTATTCTAAAGAATGGAAGGAGTGAGAACAGCAGAATAAGAACAATAGCAGATTTCAACAAACTCAGAGAACTGGTAGGCAAGGTCCTGTTGGACGGAAATCTAGGGGAAAAAGGAGTCCAAGAGAGTTGTCAGTTTCTTGAGGAGACAATATTAAAGGAGCAACAGCAAACTATCCCGATGCAAAGGAAAGATAGGAGAATAGTAAAAGGCCAATATGGCTCTATCACAAGCTATTTAATGAACTGAAAATAAAAAAAAATCCTACAAAAAGTGAAAACATGGACAAATTGCTAAGGATGAGAGCAAAAGAATAGCAGAAGCATGTAGGAACAAAATCAGAAAGGCTGAGGCACAAAATGAGTTACCTCTAGCAAGGGACATAAAAGACAATGAGAAGAGGTTCTATAAATACACTATGAGCAAGAGAAAGACGAAGGAGGTCCTCTACTTAGCAGGAAAGAAGAGTTAATAATGGACATTATCAAGAAGGCTGAGGTGCTTAATGCCTATTTTGCTTCAGTCTTCACTAAAAAGGTAAATTGTGACAAGATAGTTAACATTATTAATATTAACAACAAGGAGAAAGGAATGCGAACTAAAATAGGGAAAGAGCAGGTTAAAGAATATGTAGATAAGTTAGCTATATTCAAGTTGGCAGGGCTTGATGAAATTCATCCTAGGGAACTTCAGGAATAATTGAGGCAATCTTGGAACAATTAATGAATATCTTTGAGAATTTATGGAGGATGGGTGAGGTCCTAGATGACTGAAGAAGGAAAAAGTGTAACAAAGAGGACCTGGGGAATTATAGATCAGTCAGCCTGATTTCAATACCTGGAAATATACTGGAACAAATTATTAATCAATTTGTAAACACCTTGAGAATAATAGGGCTATAAGTAATAGCCAACATGGATTTTGTCAAGAACAAACCATGCCACACCAACCTAATTTCCTTCTTTGATGGGATTACTGGCCTAGTGGATAGAGGAGAAGCTGTAAATGTAATATATCTTGATTTTAGAAAGGCTTTTGGTAAAGTCCCATATGATATTCTCATGAGAAAACTAGGGAAATGTGGTCTAGATGAAATTACTGTAAGGTGTGTGCAAAACTGGTTGAAGGACTGTACTCATAGAGTAATTATAAATGGTTTGGTGTTAAACTCGGGGGATGTATCTAATGGGGTCCTGCAGAGGTTTGTCCTGGGTCCGGTACTGTTCAATATATTCATTAATGACTTGGACAATAGAATAGAGAGTATACTTATAAAATTTGCCCATAGCACCAAGCTGGAAGGAATTGCAAGCACTTTGGAGGACAGGATTAGAATTCAAAATGATGCTGACAAATTGGAGAAGTGTTGATAAAATTCAATAAAGACAAGTGCAAAATACTATATTAAGGAAGGAAAAAATCAAATGCACAACTACAAAAGGAGGAATAAGTGGCTAGGCAGTAGTGTTGGTGAAAAGGATCTGGGCATTATACTGGATCACAAATTGAATATGAGTCAACAATGTGATGCAGTTGCAAAAAAGGCTAATATAATTCTGGGCTATATTAACAGGACTGACGTAATTTTCCCATTCTACTTAGCATTGGTTAGTCCTCAGTTGGAATACTGTGTTCAGTTCTGAATGCCGCACTTTAAGAAAGATGTGGACTATCTGGAGAGAGTACAGAGGAGAGCAGCACACACGAGAAAAGGTTTAGAAAAGCTGACCTATGAGGAAATGTTTAAAAAAAAAAAACTGGGCATGTTTAGTCTTGAGAAAAGAAGATGGAGAGGGAACTTGCTAACAGTCTTCAAATATATTAAGGACTTGATCAATTATTCTTCATGTCCACCGAAGATAGGACAAGAAGTAATGGGCTTAATCTGTAGCAAGGGAAATTTAGGTTAGATATTAAGAAAAAACTTCTATCTACAAGTATAGTTAAGCTCTGGAATAGATTATCAAGCGAGGTTGTAAAATCCCTATCTTTGGCGGTTTTTAAAAACAAGTTAGACAAACACCTGTCATGGATGGTCCAGGTATATTTGTCCTGCCACAGCACAGGGGGATGGACTAGATCATCTCTCAAGGTCCCTTCCACTCCCATTTTTCTATGAATCTGTTTCTATGAAAACCTTAAACCCAAAGATTTCCTGGCTCCCACTCTTTGCTTTTACCATCTACCTTGATTGACAGAAAACTGGCTTGTTATGGTTAACATACTGAAAAGTCCATCTGCCAACCCAATCCAATGAACATTTCTTTTCGCCATTGTGCTGCTTATATATGGATCTTTGGAAAGGGCAATGTGGTGGCTCCATGAACCACACAGTTCAATGAATACATACCAGGTGTTGCAGTCAACTTTGATCTCTTCCCCTGGTTTGTAGGTAGCCTCGTTGTGAATACATGGACATTCCTCTTCAGCAACACAGCTGCCTTTACCATTTGACACTAGCCCAGAGGGGCACATGCAGCCAGACATACACTGTGTGCTGTACTGTAAAGCCAAGCAGAAAATGTAACTTACTTACTCAAGTATCAGAGGGGTAGCCGTGTTAGTCTGAATCTGTAAAAAGCAACAGAGGGTCCTGTGGCACCTTTAAGACTAACAGAAGTATTGGGAGCATAAGCTTTCGTGGGTAAGAACCTCACTTCTT